AATAGGAAACTTGGAACAGTAAAATAGAACTTGTAACGATACTTAAAACAATAGGAAACTTGGAACAGTAAAATAGAACTTGTAACGATACTTAAAACAATAGGAAACTTGGAACAGTAAAATACAACTTGTAACGATACTTAAAACAATAGGAAACTTGGAACAGTAAAATATAACTTGTAACGATACTTAAAACAATAAACAACTTGGAACAGTAAAATACAACTTGTAACGATACTTAAAACAATAGGAAACTTGCAATAGTTTTGTTTTAAAGATTTTACCAGTTAGGTTTCAGTAATTTATGTTGTTGTTGTTTTACACTTTCATAAAAAAACTTACCTGCTCGATCTCTCTAAATAACCATTGCCTACCAATAAACAGAGGCTCGGGTTCCGTCTGGGCAACTTCGAAAAATAAGGGCCTTAGAGGGAGATTGACCACTGGGTTGAATTGAATCTGGCCTGAATGTGAAACAAAAGTCTTTATTGTAGTAAAAATCGCAAGAAAAATACTGAAATTTACTAAAAGACGGTGTTTTCATGATATTAAGAAATTATAGTTTTGTTTGTATATTTAACATTTTTTGGTAAGTAGATCACAATTCCGTAATGTTAATTAGAAAATAGTTTCAGGCTAAAACTATTCCTATAATGTTATATAATACGTAGCTAGATTTGAATTTTATGAACACAAGAATCTGTATTGTGTGTGTGTGTGTTTAATATTTTTGTAATACTAATTGTTTATTAAACAAAAACATTACTTAAGTATCATATTTAACTTTCTTTTAACAAGCTCGTCTATTCGTATGCATCGCGGGAATCGAACCCTGGATTTTAGCATTGTAAAAGTCCTTAGACTTACCGTCGTCCCACCAGGGGGGACAGTGATTTATGCCAGACAAATAAATGTTTCAAATTACCAAAAAATTATTTAGTTCTACAATATCTCAATAGATGGCAATGCAACATTACCTCTAATTTCTGTCTCAAACGATCGGTTACCACTCCTATCGGATCGGCGTATCAATACTGATCTTTTGTCGAACGCACTGGATTCTTTAATTCCTAAGGGAGAGCCTTTTTAAAGTATTTGGAATACTTGTCATTCGGAATAAATGCACATATCTTAATTTTTTTTTCAATAAAATAGCAGACCAAAGAAACATACAGAATTCACGTCTCCAAGTAGAAAATTCAACGATAATAAAACTGGATTGTCAGATCGAAAGTAATAACTTCTAAACAGCTGAATGGACACATTTTTCATAAGCGTCAGTATTAATTCTTTAATTGAGTTTTTTTTTGGGGGGGGAGGGCGTGTAGGGGTCGCGTGGAATAATATTTTTAAAATACACTTTTGCAAAAAAAAAAAAAAATAAATAAATAATAAAGCTATATAATTGGCTAATAAGTGACCTGACCATCACGGGGAATTGAACCCCAGATTTTAGCGTTGTAAGTCCGTAAGCTTACCGTTGATGTGGTTATGAATCTGTGGGTAAGGGGAAGTACAATTATTAACAACAAACTACATCAGCGAGTAGCAAAAAATTCCACTTTTCTAAAAAAATAAACACTTGAAATATGATACGTTAGAATATGACTTGCAATGTGATGACGTAGTGATGACGTAGTGAAATTACAGCCATAAGCCAAGTTGTTTATCATTGTCTACTTTTCAGGTGTGTGTGACTTTATTCTCACCTTGCTGCTGTTTATCATTGTCTACTTTTCAGGTGTATGTGACTTTATTCTCACCATGCTGTTCTTTATCATTGTCTACTTTTCAGGTGTGTGTGACTTTATTCTCACCCTGAGACTGAAATAAATACACATTTTTTCCCCCACTAATGAGCTGACGTTAACTGAGTTTTGGCGTAGTTGATATTCAGTAAACCCCAAAAAAATTATCGACAGAACTAAATAGTTCAGAACAGAACGAAATGTCTCACTTTCACTAAGCTGGCGATGAAAGTTCGTCGCTAGAGGGCTTAGAAAGTAGTTTTTGCGTGAGTTATCACACTTCTGTCCGTGGTTGGCGCTGTGGTAGCTCATCGTATCCACAGACTCGACTGCTTGAGAAAGAGAAAATATGATTAAATAAGTTAAATAATGAGATACCACTTGTTAACACTTTATTCTGTAGATACAATAATGACGAAAATATTATACCCACACACACAGTGTCTTCTCACAGGCCTCAAATTCTTGTCACGTAAATAGCACACGCCACACCACAATGCTAATACACGTAAATAGCACACGCCACACCACTATGACATGCTATTTACGTGTATTAGCATAGTGGTGTGGCGTGTGCTATTTACGTGTATTAGCATTGTGGTGTGGCGTGGGCTATTTACGTGTATTAGTATAATGGTGACATGCTATTTACGTGTATTAGCATAGTGGTGTGGCGTGGGCTATTTACGTGTATTAGTATAATGGTGACATGCTATTTACGTGTATTAGCACCATTATACTAATACACGTAAATAGCCCACGCCACACCACAATGCTAATACACGTAAATAGCACACGCCAGACCACTATACTAATACACGTAAATAGCATGTCACCATTATACTAATACACGTAAATAGCATGTCACCATTATACTAATACATGTAAATAGCACACGCCACACCACTATGCTAATACACGTAAATAGCACACGCCACACCACTATACTAATACACGTAAATAGCACACGCCACACCACTATGCTAATACACGTAAATAGCACACGCCACAACACTATACTAATACACGTAAATAGCACACGCCACACCACTATGCTAATACATGTAAATAGCACACGCCACACCACTATACTAATACACGTAAATAGCATGTCAATCATTATGTTAATATCACGTAGATAACATGTCAATCATTATGTTAATATCACGTAGATAACATGTCAATCATTATGTTCATATCACGTAGATAACATGTTAATCATTATGCTAATATAACGTAGATAACATGTCAATTATTACGCCGATCTCACCTAAGTAAGATGTCCATTCTTATTCTAATATCACGTAAATAGCCTGCTAATTACTTTGCTAATGCTACGTAAATAGCATTCGTCAGTCACTCTGCTAATGTCACGTAAATAGCATGTCAGTTAAGAGCGCCTCTGACCAAGTAGTAATAGTAACGTTGTAGTAATATGAGCACTAACTAATACACAAGTCACAGGAGGAGCCGGTTGTTAGCTGAAGTCATAAGTCTGTTCATGATTATTTAGAAGCGAACGAGTTCTGTAGTTTATAAATAATATTAAAAAACATTCCGAGCTGAGGGCTTTCAATAACAACAAGTATTCGGCCAATCAGGCTCTCGAAAAGATATGTGATTATTCCATATTTTAATTCGAATTTCCAGTTTTAAATTTCATGACAGCTCCTTACAGAAGGAACTGTCTTACTAAATGTTGCTGGGTTCAGGTATATTTATGTCACGTGATTAATGTAACAAACGAAAACAGACTATCAGTGTCAACGTTCATTCTTCCGCTTACCAAGACTAGTTTTCTTATATTTAAATCGTTCAAAGTCCTCCACCACCTGATAATAATTTCTATACCTAACACCACGTGACGTACTTGTCGCTGATCGTTAACCCTATAATGCTGTTCCATACCTCAACCAGTTCTCTCCACCCCAACCACTGTTAATAATATTTTCTTACCATACATGGTCTTGTTTTAAACGTAAGGTTGGTCGTTATACAGCTTTGAAGTACGTACAGCGTCCGTTTACATACTGAGAAAAACCAAAACTTACCCGAAAACGTGCAGTGATAATATGATAAAACAGCTATAATAAATAAATAATCTAGCACTGAGGAAATCAATATTATACTTATTCAAATGAGTGTGTTTTAAAATATTAATTATTTATAAATATGCATAAGCTATTTTCATCATTGGTCATGGGTAACGATAAAAAGGCAATGCGAGGCTTACTTATTGTTGTACTGGGCTGCGTATCAGAAGGTCCAAGGTTCGTGCTGTGATACCGCGGAACACGCCCTTCACTTTTAGATGTTTGTGAGTATAAGAGTGCCAGTCAATCCCAATATTCGGCTTACAGCAGGAAAAGCCCTTCTGGCAGTGAGTGCTACTGACCGGCTGCCTACCCTCTGGTTAGTACTTCAAAATTAGGGGTAACTATACCTGAACCCTATGGTTCAAATATGGATTGAAACGTGTCTGTCCTTGTGAACGTGGATTCAACTATTTCTGCGTAAGTTTTATTTCTATTATACACATATTTCACAGATGCTACCCATATACCTAACATGTTTAATCCACATAACTAACTTGTTTAATTCACGTACCTAACATGTTTAATCCACATACCTAACTTGTTTAATCCACATACCTAACATGTTTAATCCACATACCTAACTTGTTTAATCCACATACCTAACTTGTTTAATCCATATACCTAACATGTTTAATCCACATACCTAACTTGTTTAATCCACATACCTAACTTGTTTAATCCACATACCTAACTTGTTTAATCCATATACCTAACATGTTTAATCCACATACCTAACTTGTTTAATCCATATACCTGACTTTTTTAATCCAAATACCTAACTTCTTTAATCCATATACCTTGGTAATACGTTGGTATGTCCCCACAGATGCTATAGTGCCCGGGCAACATGTTCAACACGTACATATTTAGATTCCCGACCATTAAAATGTGTGATGCTTCCACGGGTGGACCTATACCTGGAAGAATATGTCACAGCACCTTATGGGGAAGGATGTATATTCGTCTGTTAAATGATGTACAGTTAAAGAACACAACACTTGGAAGAAGGCGTCCTTCATGAAGGAGAAAAATGGGCTCCAAATTACACACAAAGTGATTCTAGATCAACGCCCTCATCCGATAAGTTAATAAAGTTTCCACTCCAAACACCATTACAATGAAGCTGGGCATATCTCCAAGTGTCACACCACGAAGTAAACACCTGTTTTTAAAGGGGTCTAAGGGGAGAACGACTGAAGAAGCTGAAATCGCAGCAATCCTATCCAATCTATCAAGTCTCACGATTCGACTTTGTATCTTTAACTTGGTGTCTTAGAAACAGGGTCCACGTGCGGTGGAGGATCAAGAGAAAGTGTGTCAAGACGTGTGGTCTTCCGCAGAACCTTTCCACAATGAAACTATCGCAGTTCTAAAGGTTTCTTATAAAATACGATTAACTGTCAGAAAAAAGCAATAGATACAAGTAGGTATTCACTAGAAGTTGGACATTTATGACTATATAACAAAATGTTCCAAAGGGGGAGATTATATAAGGCTTAATTTATATGGTTTGTTTTTAGTTCTGGTTAAGCACAGAGCTTCACAATGGGCTATCTGTGCTCTGCCCACTACGAGTATAGAAACCCGAATTTTAGCGTCTTAAGCCGCTAGACTTTCCACTGAGTCACTGGAAAGGCGGGGGGGGGGGTGTTTCAACATATAATATATCCTTGATAACGAGGAACCCACTTTGAGACTAATAATGGCTGGAGACGGCTTGAATGGGTAATGAAGAAAAACTTTAATATAACAGCAAATGTACAACGTTTCGACAAGGTTTTGTACATTTGCTGTTATGTTAAACTTATATTAAAGTTGTTCTTCATTACCCATTCAAGCCGTCTCCAACCATTATTATATAATATATCTGTAAAGTAGAAGAATCGAGAAATTTGTAGAATAGCAGATCTTGACTCAAGCTGACATAATAGAACGTTCACAGTTAATTAAACATTACCTGTAAGAGTGGACAAAGGACTTACCTGTGTTGGCGGATCCCGGTTTATTTGTTTCACTGTTAATCAAAGACGATATGCTAGCACGTGATTCCTGCCTGCTGGGATTGGTTGAGCCAGTTCGGGGAGGCGTGGTCCTTGGGGAAGCTTGAGCATCGTCGCTAAGTGGATACCCAAGCCGTGCGTAAAAATCACTTTTAGTTGGATCGTCAGTTCCGTTTCCGACTTTGTGCGGAAGTCCGTCATCTAAAAATACCCCAATAACAGGTAAACGTATATATCCACATATCAACTAGTTAATATCTTAAAGTAATAATTTTACAGTGCTCATGCAACAAATTAGGCGTAAAGTGTGCTAGCGGAGTTATCATTACAAATACTTCAACTATAAGGTCGTCAAGGAATTAATGTCACTTTTGTTAGATGAAAAAAAACAAAACCCGAACAACTTATATAACAAAACAAAATATTTATCAAATAAAATAGTCTCCATTCTTATCGATGATGCTTTTTCATCTTACAATCAGGTTGTTAATGCCCTGATTAAATAAATCACTTGGCTTTGAAGTAAGAAACATGTCGATGTCCTCTTTAACACCTTCCACATTTCCATACGTTTTCCCATGAAGATGGTGTTGAGCGAATGAAAAAGATGGTAATCTGATGGTGCCATATCTGGAGAATA